TTTTTTTTTTTTTTTTTTTTTTGGTACTGGGGTTGAACTCGGGTCCTAGCACTTGCGAGGCAGGCAGCAAGAACCACTGAGCTAAATCCCTGGCCCTAAAGAGGATATTTTAGTGGCAAAGGAAGCTGGCATGAAGCCATGAAAGTGATGTTTCAGACCTTGGTCCAAAGATAATAAAGATAATTTGCAGTGTGTAGGGGAGGGTGGAGAAAGGCCAAGAGATGCCAGAGTAGCCTGGAGGTGGGCTCGCTGCAATTCTGGGGTCTTTCCAGGTTGGCCAGGACTGGGTATTTTGGGATAGAGCTGTCGTAACCTCAGTGTGTAGCTGGCATGGGGTCGACTAGGAGCCAGCTGTCCACCTAGCCAGGGGCTGATGAAGTAGAAAGGTAACAGGCCATTCCTGGTCCTATTCAGACCTGGGTAACAAGGAGTTCAGGTGGATGACACAGGTGGGGACAGAGTCAGTATGTTCCCTAGGGTCTCAGACACCTTGCCCCAGAAGCCAGAGCATCCCTGTGGGTGGCTGGGCTAGCCTAATTCAGGAGAGGCACCTGGAGCCCGGGAGCAAATCACCCTGCCCCAACATACTTGCCAGCAACAGAGGCAATACAGAGTCCAAGGGAGGGGCAAGCAACTCATCTACGCAATGGCCAGATAGCTGGGCACAGGGCTTTCTGGAGGACCCCACACTTTCCTTGTCCTCAGGAATCGTGGCATGAATATAAGCAGCATCCCCCACCCATACCCTCCCTGAGGCTCTGGGCAAGGAAAAGTCTTTGCTTAGCTTCTCCATGTGCAGCCTGGGGCTCCAGTCCTCACTGTCTTCTCTCCTCTCTCCAAGGCCCATAAATCACCCCAGACACCTTGGATACTGGGAGCAGAGGCCTCCATCTTGATGGTGGCAGCAGTCTGACCCAGACAGGACACCATTAATTGGCTGCAGTAATAAGGTGCAGCAGTGAGAGCTGGGACAGTGAGAGAGACAAGGAGAAAGGAAGCCTGGCCAGGGCCTGTCCATGTTACCTCTGCGGTCATCCTGAAAAGCTGGCGGGAAACACTTGCAGCAGTGCCTGCTATTTCTGCAGCTGGCTTTCCCTGGCTTTCCTTTCCTTGTGGCAAATCTTTCACTTTCTTCCAAAGCTCAGCTCAAATGCCCCCTTTTCCCTGAAGCTTCCCCAATGACCACCCTCCTTCCCACAAAACCAAAACTCACTACCTTCTCTGTTGGTCATATCTCTACCGATGGAGGGTCTCTTTTGTGCTAGCACTAAATATATTGTGAATGGCACTGCGTTTAATCCTTACAACAACCCCATGGGGTAGCTTTTATTAGTGTCCCCATTTTGCAGACTGGAAACGAAAGCTCAGAACAGTTAAAAAAAAAAACTTCCCCAAGTCTGAACAATTGCACAAGGTGAATACTAGACTTCAACTAAAGTCCACCCACTTCCTTATACAGCCTTGGTTGCTGTGTTGATCTCATATTGGGATACTGTTTTCTGTGATTGGCTCTCCCCTCTGAACACTGAGCTGTCACCAGACAGAGGCAGGTATTGCTGATGTTTGGCTTCTCAATGCATAGCCCAGTGCTTGGCACACAGTGAGTAATGGGCTGACGAGGGACTGAAAGTAACAAAACCCCTGGTGGGAAGCTGGAGAGAATAATGGCAGAAGTTCAACCCTGGAGATGCTTCCAGGAAATTCATAGGAAGCATTATTGAAAAAAATGGGAAATCACTGTATGGTCTTGATTAGACTTGAGCAAACTACCAGAGTAGTGCCTGGTAAGTACTGTCAATAACAGCAATTGACATTTACCAAGAATCGAGTACAATCCCAAATCTAGATTAAGTGCCTTTATTTATATGACCGTATATAATTCCTGCAAGAACCCCATAAATTCTTGGACTTTTAGAACACTAATAAACTATTATTTCCCACCTTCATATAGGTGGGAAAGTTCAGACTGAAGGGGAAAGGACATTTAAAGAGCAGAGCTGGAAAATCTGTGTCTTTCCAGAGCTTTTCTTATGGTAGACAGACCCCTCCTCCTCACTGTTGCCAAGGTGAGCTGTTCCTAAGGGGAAGGCTACCTGGGCTGGCCACTCCTGCTGGATGGAGGATCCAGAAGCAAAAGGATATGCTCTACAAAGCTCAAGCTTGTAGGTGTGAGCAGCAATGGGCCTTCCTTTCTTTGAATGGAGGTTGGTCTTCAGCCAAATGTGTACTCTTGCTGATTTTATGGGCATTCTAGAGTGTCACTGACCTGTCCAGCTGGCAGCTGCCTCAGCTGAGGCCATGGGGGTTTCCTTATCACTAGTATTTTTGTACAGGAAGAACCAAGAGAACCCTAAGAGTCACCATGGCTGTCATCATCTCCTCCCAGATCCAGGTGAAAGTTGATCTACTTTTAATCTACTAGAAGAGCTTCCTGAAACAGTAGAAGCAATGGCTGTGTTGCCTTGAACCTGGGTCATAAGATAATTCCATCCCTTGTAGCTGTTGACCAAGGTCAAGGTGCTCAACCTTTCCGTCCCTCCAGCAATGAATGTGTAAATTGGGGACCAAGGAATGTGCCCTTTTCCCATAGGGTTCAGCATGAATGGTGATACAACATCTGTGAACTCAGCTCTTATGTCCCATGGAGCTCAGGAAGCATTCCTTTCCTTCATTCCATCCTACCATGTTGTCTGCTTTTATTTTCTTGGAAGGCCGCATCCCACTTAGATGTACCTTGTTTACTCATGTTACATCTTTATTGCCTATGTTCTCCATTCCCCAATTAGAACGCCAGCTCCATGAGGGCAGGATCTGTTGACCCTATTTTTTACTACTGTATTCCTATGCTAGAAGTGTGGTTTCTTGCTTATTATTGGTTGAATGAGTGAATAAAGACACCCAAGGGTATTACTAGGGGCAAAGAGATGGTCACTAAGTGTTCTGTTTCATATTTCAGAATCAAACATGGACCTAAATGTTTCTTAATCTTTTATGGAGTTATTTCTCCAATTAAGATATGATTTTTTTAAAAAAATTATAGGTTCCTTCATAGAAAACAAAGCAAAGCAAAACACTCTCAAATATGCATGTCCTGGTGGCCTCCCAAGTGCAAGTGCTCATAGTTCTCTCGTAGCCTATCTACGAAGACTTCTCAGTGGCCACAGAAGCCGGGCCCGGTGATGGACTGACTGATGGTCAACTTCTGATGCCCATCTAAACGGAATCAGTGTGGTCTGGGCATGGAGGAGCCACCTGAGGATTGTTACCAGTAGCCATAAAAAGAGAACTGGAGGGGAAAATCTTGGCCTGTTGATTTTCTAGAAGATTGCTGCGGATGATTTTCCTGATGTAAACTAGGCTGTTCTTGGAGGAGGAGCTTGGGGCCTCTCTGTAGCTGGGAATGGCTGCTGCTTTCATCAGGGGAGCTCTGACCTTTACTGTGAGCATCGCTTCATGGCTCCAATGTGTATCCCTCAGCTTGGTGGCACAAATCCTTCATCTCATGAGCATAGATTTTCTGCCTTCCACCACTGGTCTGTGGGCCTTCCAGGTGTAAATCCTCAATACAAACAAGCACGAGACATTGCCGTAGGTTCTAGGCCACTGGCTGGACTCGAGGAGGACATGACCTTGGACTCAGCCTTTAGCTGGACTTTTGTGGGAAGCTGCTGGGATCCAGGACCTCAGTTGAATGTTTTGGGCCTCTAGTGTGCAGTTAATCTCTTGCACTCCTTTGCATTTGACTCTTTGGGTAATCATCATAAAATAATCTTAGAAATTATGTGTCCTGTATTTAATATATTCCCTTGCTAAATCCCTGCTGACTACAACAGGCTCTACACCCTTCCCTTGAGCATTCAGTGTACAGCACCTTACACACTATGGAATGATTGGGGCACATCATCTTGCACGCTCACCCTTCCCTGCCAAGTGCTAATTAAACCATTGTGATATTTGGCATGTTTGTTGCTCTATTATGGCTTTCAAGTGCAACATCCAAATTGCTGTGGTCAGAGTGCAATGTGAATTAATTTATGGCCTTCATAGATAAGTGGTTCGGTTTTTAAGTGCTTTTTCTTACAACTGATTCTATTGTTTTTCCTTTGAAGCTTCACTGTTCCCTCCTATCCGTATCCCTACCCAACAAAAGCAACCACAGTAACAACAACGAGCCTCCTCTTAGGTGAGCTCTGCAGCAGCCCCGAAGTACAGCTAAATTTAGGTCACAGATTTTATAGACATTTAAGGCAAAGAGATTAAATCACATGCTGAAGGGCATGGAGTGAGAGAAGAACAGGGCCAGAAAGGGAGCCTGACTCCACATACAAGTAACAGTTTATTATGCCTGAGATGAGTGCTACACTGATCCATAAAGCTGTATGAGCGAGTACAGGCGGGCACGCACATTAGCCGAACTCTTTAGGTGTCAGTTCCTTCAGCTCTGAAACAGGTATGAGAATAGTCATGCTTCCTTGTGAAAATTAAACGGCACTGTATGCACACAGGGCACTCCACGCAGGGAGAGGAGAATGGGGAAAGCAGAACACACGTTAGCTCTTGAGAATGTGCTTTCTTGGTTCCTGACCTCATGGGATCACAGGTCAATGAGCAGAAGGTAAACAGAGGGAAAACAAGCTGCCTCCGCAACAGCGAGTCCCTGTCCCTAGAAATCAAGTGATGATGCAGAGTATCACCTTCAGGGAGCGGTTTGGACCAGAGGAGGACAAGCGGACCTCTTCTCACGGAGTTGTGAAGACCCAACACAGCCACTGAGTAGCTGGTCACCTGGCTGTCGATACAGAGTGGAAAGAGCACAGCACTTCAATGTCCCGACAGGGGAGGCTTGACTGACCACCCTCGGGGCTGCCATATTTCCTTCTCAAAATGGCCAATGTGGTTCAGCCACAGCAGCCTCAGCCTCAGAGTCTGACTTTAGCCTTTTAAGCAGAAGAGGCGGCTGGTTCACCTCATTACATGATTCTGCTCAGAAAAAGAAATCAGTCCTGAGTGAATGAGCCCAAATAATTTCTTTAGTGCTGGGCCCCTGGCAACGACTTTTCAATCCTCCCTTGCAATGGCTCAAACCAAGAGAGCTCTTCAGCAGGCTGCTGTGTGGTATTCTGCCTCCAACATGACTGAGAATCTTAAGTCAAAATCACACAGGGAATATTGATATTGGCCTTTTTCCATATCACATCCTGCCTGGAAATGTGTAGGTGGCCTCTTCTATTTGTTTGTGCAGCCTAAAGTCACTGGAGCAGAGAGGGACAGAAAGGGAGTTTCATTGTGAAGAACCCAGAGCTAACCAGGGGACAAATCATGTTTAAAGTGAAAATATATGGAATCAAGTACAGCTAAGTTATTCTTCTAAATCAAATCGAGTAACGTCCCCATTTACTACCCTAAAATAACTTATTTATTCAATGCTTGGGGTTCACACAGACAGCAAGCTGATCTTTTCCTCTGGGGCCATATGGAGGAGTAAAGAATAGATAATATTTTTTTATATGCAGCACTTGCAGGGAGAACGATGTGCCTCTGGTTATACTGCTTACCTAGGGACAGAAAATGTAAAGTTGTGTGGGGAAAAAAATGCAAAAAGCTCATCTATTTCTTTCTCAACAATTTTTCTGCTGGTTATCTGGAAACCAGTAACAATAAGACTGATAAGTAAGATAAGATTTCCAGGCAGTCATCTTAAGAATTTGGAGCATATTGATATTTTCAGAGGCTACTGAAGCTCAGAGGCATTGAGACTGAGGAGCATGCTGAAATTTTATTTGAAGGGCACTTTGGCATTGAATTTTATAGGGTTCTTCTTCAGTTCCTTTTTCTTGCATTTAGCACTGCAGTATTTGTGGGGGTTGGGATCAGGGGTAAACACCGTGTATTTCAGAAGAGTAAAAAAGCTGTGGTGACCTGAACCCAGGTTCTACTACTATGCAGTATCCTCCTGACCTCCCAGAAAATCATAGGACTATTCTAAACCACAGGTGATAATGAGTCTTCACTTTGTTGGGTTTTGTTAAAGGTGAAAACAAGATAGTTTTCCTAAAGTCCTGGTTCTGGTGGGTTCTCAAGGGTTAGCTTCCTTCAATCCACCCTAAGGGAGACCACAGTTATATTCATACTGGCTTTTCTGGCTCCAAGCTACCACAATTTTATGTGGCTGATTTGTCCAGTGTCCCGGTTTTTATAGACCCAATTCTATTTGCTTTGAATTATAATGGCAGGAAGGGTCATTATCTTTTCGCAAATTAAAACATGTTCTATTATGGTGAATTTTGAACATCTACAAAAGTAGCCAGAATTATCTAATAAACTTTTTTTTTAACTCACTGTCCTACTCACAAACCCATCAATCAATCAATCACAGTCACTTCTGACCCATTGTTAGGGACCTCTACTCTTCTTCGACTACAATTTATTTGATCCAAAAATGAGACTCTTCTCATTCCTGAAATAGTTATGGATTTATAAAGAACTTAAATTTATCAGTGAAGTAAACATTTAAAGGAACCAAATTAGAGTTTGTTTTGTCATCCTTTGATTTTTGAGCCCAAGATAATGGAAATGAGAGCTGTAAATGGAGAAGGAGCTATGTCCATTTGGTGAATCCAAAGCCAAATATTTCATGTCCATGTCACATGAGTAAAAGGGATGACAAGATCTGTTCTGCCCACTTAGCTAAAGTGTTGCTAGAAGCAACCAAATTAGTACACGAGAATTCATGAGATTTTTGCAAAGTCCTTTCATTGTAAACATTGATAATAAAAACTACATAAGAAGACAGCCCTAATAATACATGGCCTTGGTTATTTCAAGCATATTTTTGCATAATCTTTCATTGTCTCAATGGACTCCAGGTGAATATTACTCTTTAAATCACAGTCCAAACATTACCTCATATCCTTTCACGCTGTCCCCCAGAGCTTCCACTATCCCGGAACATTCAAATCCTGGCACCAGGGGAGTCTTGGGAGGGTTGTCAATATTCCCTTGTCGCACCATCAAGTCGATGAAGTTCAAGCCACTGTGAACAGCAGATGTGAAAAAAATAGAAATTCAAAATAATATCCCAAAACAAGAGAAGGCTCTTTCCTTCTCTGCCCACTGCTCGTTGTCCTTTCTTCCCTCCTTCCTTCCTTCCTTCCTTTTTATTTTTTTCAGCCCAAGTGTCCTTAACAGTAATGCCTCTTGGTTCTTGGTTAGATGTACAATTCAGTTATCCCTATGCAGACGAATAATGCGTTTCTAATGGTAAAAATAGTTGCAATTTACTTTCTAATTCAAAATATAGTCCCTTTGTCCTTTGTGTCTACCCAGAAATGTTCTTTGAAAACACATATTGACAAGTCTGGTCATTAGACATTCCGGCACTTAATCACAGGTTTAAAAAAAATGCCCTAGGAAGTGGTTATAAACACACATGGAAGGAAGCCAGACACAATGGCCACCAGCCAAACAATGACAAACAGAGAAAGAGAAAGGACAACTAATTTAAAAGGTCTGAAAACAGCCAACTCTCTCTTCTCACTCATCTCCCACACTTACACCAGCCTTGTGCATAAACAACACCCATAATTGTGAATATGAGCCATGAATAGGAGAAGAGAGACTCAGAAAGTTTGAAGGGAGGGCTGCGTGGATCTGAAAATGCTGGAGCATTTGTTTTGAAACTGTGAGTTACCTATGGATGAGCGAAGCTATTAGGTATTTTCTATTTACACATTACTTTTGAAATAAGAATGTTATTGAATTATATCAAAGCCATCTCCATGGAAACCATATACTGCACTCCAGTGAGGACACCAATGTAATAATCTGTTTTATGTTTCAGAACTACTCTTGGGAACTACACTTAGCACCCTTTTGCTAGATCCATGAGGAAAAACATCCCTTTGAGCATGCATTTCTCCCAGCAGATGTGGCTCTGAGGAGCTTCTTGTTTTTCGTAAGTCACCATCTAAAAAACACTGAGATCACAGAAACCAAATTCCTCAGTCTGACTCAAGGCCCATCAGCATTTGGCCAAAGCTGTTTTTCCAAGCTAGACAACTAGACCTAGTTTTAAGTAGATCTTGCCTATTCTTCCTTGGTCTGTGTGGAGCCAAGGGCATATTTATGAGGAATGACTGAAAAATAGAGTAAATATTAAAATTGCTAGAAATGATTACAGTAAAAGACACGCTGCCATTAATTGCCCCTCAAAATATGCCCTCACTTTAAACAAGCTTGTCCCACCGTTCTCGTTACTTTCTGAAGCAGTTCTGGAAGTGCTCTTCTGTGAGTGTCATTAGCTATGCTCTTGTGGCTGCCTGGACCAATTCAAAATATTTACCTTCCATGGTCTTTTCGATTTTGAGGAAGAACAAGTTGCACAGTGTCAGATCTGCTGAATAAGGTGGATGAGGACACGCAGTAATGTTTTTATGATGCTGTCTTCCCACTGAATGGCACTCAGCAGCAGCGTTCACCATGTTCTTGATCACAACTTGTAAAGACACTCATTAAAGCAGACTTCTGGAGTGCTTCAGAAAATACCAAGGACAATGGGATAAGTGTGTTTGAAATGGATGAGGGGAATGAATGGTTTTTTTTACTGTAATCCATTTTTACATTTTTAAACATTTATTATAAATTTTAATCACCCTTGTAATTCTATATCTACTCTCTGGTCTTACTTGCTAGTCTTATCCACAGGGACGCACAAAGGCAGAAGGACACCTCACTCGAAGACAGATGAAGGGTGTCAAAACTCACACCTCAAGGTTCTCCTCCTGGAGATCAGGCAAGTTTCACCCCTTGCCCCAGCCAGTGCATCCCTTCCAGGTGGCCCCCTTGAAGGCAGCTGCTTGCCTCAAATTTCCTTGCTTCCACAGTGTCTGGCAAGCAATAGGTTCAAGATAACATGGTATAGTCTGTACTCGTCCCATCTGCTGAGTGCAGGAGTAGTCATCAATATAAAAATGAGGTTCCAGTGTGAGCACTAGTTCCTTTTAAAAATGAGAAATGGATAGAAAGCTGAAATGCATATTTAGACTTCCAAGGGTCCTACTTTGACAGTAAGTAGTTTTTTGGGTCAATTATTATCCCAAATATCCTTCAACAACATGACCATTTTATAAGAGCTTGGGAGACGGGGGTACAAATCCCAATCCTACCACTTCTATATTTATGTAGCCTTTGACAAATTTCCATAACCTGTGCTTCAGTTTCTTCATCTGTAACTTGGGAGTTCTAACAGCAACTACTTGACAGGGTTGGTATACAGAAGTCAGACCCTTAAGCAAGGCACCAAGTACATTGTTAGTATTCAATGGCTGTTATTCTTTTAATGCATGTCTTCAACAAAGACAGTGAGAAATGTGTGAAATATTTTAGGAAGGCTAGTTAAGCAAGGGTTAAAAATAGTTTCAGAGCTGACATGGGAAAACTCCCACTATCTATAAACTTCACTTTGGCGTAATGGTCCATTTTCTAACCCAAGCAAATACATAAAGCATAGCTGTGTAACAATAAAAGAAATTTGTACGTTCCAAATCAAAGACTGCATCTCATTCCAAGCATATTTTAGCTGGCTGTGTTTTCCTTTGTGTGAAAACTTATGATTTCCCAGGGCACTAAGGAAGAAATGCCAGAAGAAATTACTTGACAGTTCTGCAAACATGGCGGCCCCCTGGAGAAGGCTTCATCCCTCTTATTAGCTGCTCAACTGGGCGTCTCCAATCACCATCCAACGTGAATGGGCTGGTAATTATAAACAGAGAGGAGAGCCAGCTACTTAAATCACAGTGAGAAAGGCTAAGACTGACTTGATAAGAGGCTGTGCCTTCCTGTTTCCTCAGGAAGTCTTTCAGTATTGCACAGGTCTTGGTGAATGATGCCTATTTTCAGGAAGCAGGTACATCCTGAGAGAAAGGGCTGGGTGATGGTGTTCCTCTCAATACCAAGGAGGTGAGCAATTGCTGATGGAGTGCACTTAGGTGTTGTATCACACCTACTTCATGGTTCCTGCACCCAACCTCCTCCTGAGGTGGATACAGCTAGCATTTAATGAGGGTTTAATTTATGGCAGGAACTGTGGTATTTAAGAATCAATGCTACTCCTATGAGGTGTGAATTATCCTACCCATTTTTCAGATACAGAAATCTCTGATACATTTAGATTAAGCCACTTATTTGAGGTTTCGTCTTTAGAAAGTGTCAAAATAGTATTTAAATTCAAGCAGAGCACAAGGTTGAGCCTTTACACAACATACTCCACTGCCATGGGAATCTCCTCACCCTCCATCCAGGGAAAGGGGTGTCCCAGGGCCATGTTTGTAGCTCCTTATCTCTTCCTCCTTGGTGACAACTGCTGTACCCCTGGTGGGCCCAGTGTTGGAGGAGTAACTTTTCCTCATCTAGGCCAGAGTCCATTCATTAATATAAACAGATGATGTGTGTGTTCAAGACCTGGGTGTGTTCTCAAAAGCTACAAACTGGGTATTCAGCAGCCAGAGAACAAGTTAACAGAAAGGACGTCAAAAGATAGAGCTGAGCTACAGGGACTTAGTTGACCTGAGCTTTTTAGAACAGTAAGTGGAAAGGCCAGTAGGTAGGGGAATTAAAAGAATTGACTCAGCAGCCTGCACCAGGGTGAGGTTTTGCAAACTTCCATTGCTGAATTAGCCAGGAGAGGGTCCAGAGCCCAGAGTGAGTGGGGCCAAGGCCATCACACCTCCCACTCTTTCAGGCCCTTTGTTATTTCATGCCTCTTTATAATCAAACATCTTTGCTTAGGTCACCTGTGTGGTCTCTGTCCCACAAAACCAAAAGATGCAAACTAAATCAAGTACCATAATCAATCATCCCACTGGGGCAAACATTACCGACCTTTTTTTTTTTTCCAGAAAAAACTCACATTGTTTCGATATATTAAGACAAAGCCACACAGAAAGCACAACCCATGGACTTAAAGTTGGGTCTATTTAATCCTTTTCTTTTCTCATCATCACAAAAGAACACAGGGGTGTACTATGCTACAAAGCTTCACAATGACAGTTTCCAGTGTTCCCTAAGATAATCTGACTTTTTCTCACGGAAAGTTGGGGGAGATGAAAATGACTAGGTCTGATGACTCAAGCGCACATGGGGGTAATCTTTAGACATCTCTTTTACTTAACTTTTACACAGCTCTTAGACATTTGAGATCATCGCAAAACATAATGTTAGAAAGTACTTGACAAAATGTTCTGCTGGGTAATTCTATTTTTTTCAAAGATGGGTATGCTTCTAATAATACAATAGGACTTTTCTTTTTCCTCCCATGATAAATGATTTGTCAGAGACTAGGAGTAAAGGATTATTATTGAGATGTAGCATTGTGAGGGGGTGAAGGGAGAGATCTGAAAAAGGGACCCTGAAAAACTCAAAACACAGGATGAGGAATCTGAAGACACATGATAAAAAATACAGGGAAATGTGAGGACAGGGCTTTTAAATACTTTCTTATATTTGCATAGCACCATTTATAATTTGCTTTCAGACAAGTCTCATTCAACACTGTAACAGTCCCAGAAAAGCAAAAAGTACAGATATTGTTATTCTCATTAAATAAATGTGAACATTAAGACTCTACATAAAAAAAAAAAACTGACTTGACAAAGTCACAACTGCACAACACAATTAGTATAACAGAGCTGAGATTTAGTCAAGGTCCTCAAACTCTTTGCTAATTGTATATCTCACAACACTATAAAATCTCAAGGGCAAGGGAAAAGAAGAGTAAGATGAAACATTGGAAGGAAAAGAGGTAGGAGCATGAGCTTCGGTCCCTGCACTGCCAGCAGACCACTGTGGGGCTTGGGGCTTGGCTGTGTCTCTATTCGCCTGATGGCCCTTCATCCTGTGGGCTCTGCTTAAGGTAGTATCAGAACCTTAGCTTAGGCAGAGATGGAGATGCTGGCGGTCTTGACAAAAGACACTGACTTGAATGCTTAGACTCTGTGTAGAAGATGAAAGCTAGTCTTGGTGTCTCTGTTTTCTTTT